GATGCACAGAGATGATGAGAGAGAGAGAAAGAGAGAGAGATAAGGAGAGGAATGAATTTGAGTAAAGAATTTGGGTCTGTGAGAAGATCTTTTGGGGTGGATTCCCTTCTAGACCCAAAGAGAGGGTATATTCTCCTACCCTTTATTATTATTTTTATTTTAGTTATTTTTCCCTGCCTCAAATTGGTAACTGAGCCTTGAGATCCGTGCTCAGCACAAATAAGAGATGATCTAGTCATGGAGCCTCCAGATCAAAGATTTGAGAGACTAAAAAATGACCTAATAGAGCATAATAGCAAATTTATAGAACAAAGTCTAAGAGATCTATTTGATAGATTGCAATCAGAGGAAGAGGAAAAAGAACATGAAGAGGTAACTATCAGTGCAACAGATGTTAACAATTATGAAGAAGAAAATATACTAGTTGCGGTACGTCAAATACCATCCTTTGATATCAAAGGAGAATTCAAGATTTAGTGTGGTTTTCCAGAGTTTGATAATTCAAAATTCCTTTACAAATTGTATTCCAAGTGTCTTCTCAGTTGGATCATTTTAGCAAGGAGAATGGTGGGATTTCATCACCAACTTTTGAGGAGGCCTCTAAAAGATTTGAGCTCGATAAGCTCGATGTCAAACTTCTCCCAACCCGGGAAGAATGATGCAGATAAAAAATTAAGAAAATTCAAAATTTTAGTGTTATTATTATTTCTTCTTTATTTTTCTTAAGAATAGGACGTGCACTGGGATAAATTAGGTGGGAGCATTTTGTGCGTGAGTTTGAATATGTGTGAGTTGTCGAGGCCTATCTTTTGGTTTAGGAAATAGCTTATCTTTTAAGATAAGTAGAAATTATCTTTTATTATCTTTTAGAAAGAGAGGATAACAAGAGCTTTAGAGAGATAGATGGAAATAGAGATTTACATGGGAGTGAGAGAGAGAGAGTTAAGGAGAAAATTGGATTTGAGTAAAGAATTTGGGTCCTGTGAAAAAATCTTTTGGGAAATCCAGAGAGAGGGTATATTCTCACCCTTTATTATTATGTTTATTTTAATTATTTTTCCCCGCATCAAGGTCACAACTACTTCCGACCAAAGGATTTATTTCCATTTGTGGCAATCTTTACTTCAAGACTCAAACCACAGCATATTGGTGGGAACAACAAACTCTCATACTTAGTTTAGCACAATAATTACAGCATTGACCCCAATGACCCAACAAGAATATACATTATATTATGTAGCTAGAGTTACTACAAGTGGAATACGAGTCACCAGAGATAAACCATGCATATCATGACATGCATAGTTCCTTTCACTCTCAACTTTTGCTAAAAAAAAAATTAATCACCTCTTCATGAAATGGTACTAGGAATGGAGAACAATACAAGCATGAAACTCAATAATAATGTAGACTAAATAAGACACTTTCTATCCATCAAGAAAGAGAAATAATCTAGTAGCTCAACATCAAGTGAACATACCGTGGCTTCACATTATAGTTTCTATTCCATGTGAGTTGTCGTGTTGCCATAAATCTCATCCATACAAGAAGTCCGGCTAGACCTAGTTCCCCTTGATCTTTAGCCCATTCTGTTAAATCTGTTGCAATGTTAAATCTGCAACAACATAGTATATCACAGTCACCATATGCTTCAAATAACAGACCATCTTTTTAAAATGATAGACACTCATTGCTAAAAGGAATTCAGGTGAAATCAATATAATCTGGAAAGAACTAAGAAAAAGAACCACAAGTTTTCTAAACATTTAAACATCATCACAAGCAAATATGAAACCGTTTGTTCTTCTATAAAGAACACCAAAAGCATCAATTTTCCATAAATAAGAATCACGTTACCAAAATGAAGACGAGATCAAGTCTCTAAAACATTTAGTCTCTCATTTAAAGCAACTAAGAAAAAAGAACCAAAGCTGAACACATAAGATCGCATGAAATGTGCACAATAATCAATTCAATTTGTGAAATGGACAAATTCAGTATATTCAGCAAATTTATTCTGAACCAAATTCTTCCTAGAACTATCCACAGCAGAAAAATGTATGCCCTTATTGATGATTCATTGTTACCCCATGAATCTCTGCATCTTACATAAAATTATAAAGTGCATTTAGCTCTTTAAGGCGCAACATAATAAGCTTGATATGATTGTAATTCATTTTACCCATCAAATTTGTTTCCCATTGAACAAAAAGTTGCTCAAAAGCCAGTCTACAAAAAACATTCAAAATCCTCAAGCAATATTACTTTCATTTTTTCCAGAAGTTTATGATAATATTCTTTATAATTAGTTTTATTTAAAAAATTTCCCCCATCATCATCATCATCCGAGCCTTATTCCGACTATTTGGGGTCGGCTACATGAAAATCCTATTCCGCCATTCTTGCTTTATCAAGGTCATACCCTCAGTATGTCTATAAGTCATTGTATCTTTTCTCACAACCTTTTGAGCCTTCCCTTCGTCTTTTTAGGGCCCTCCACTTGAACCAAATTGCATCTCTAACCAGTGTTGTATTAGGTCTAAGCTACACATGGCCAACCCACTTAAGTCTACTTTCCATCATCTTATCGCCAATTGAAGTTACACTTAAATTCCCTCGAATTTACTTATTCTGAATTCTATCCTTGTCTTGTCACTCATCCATGTCAATATCCTCGTCTCAGCTATACTCTCCTATGGGTATGTTACTTCTTGACCGCTTAACATTCTATCCTATAAAACACGACTAGTCTTACAACTGTCCTATAGAACTTCCCTTTAAGTTTTATTGGTATTCGACAATCACATAAAATTCCAGATCCACATCTCCACTTTGCCCACCTGGCTCTAATTTTATGTGTATCATCCTCCTCAATCTCTCCATTCTCCTAGATTATTGATCCAGGACATTGAAAATAATCTTTTTTAGTTATTTATTAAGCATCAAACTTAACTACTTCTCGTTTTTACTCCTATTACTACTAAACTTGCAGTCGACATATGCTTTATTAGGCTAGTTAATTTTGCATTGACAGTGCTTATAGTCTCATCAATCAAAACTGTCATCCGCAAACAACATACACCACAATACTTCATCTTGTAGGTGCCTAATTAACTTGTCCATAACCAAAACAAAGACATGGGCTCAGCGCTGACCCTTGATGTAAGTTTATTGTCACTGAAAGCTCACTTGTCTCTCCGTTAATTATCCTCACACTAGTTAGCACTCGCTCGTAAATATCTCTCACCATGTCTATATAGCCTCTAGAAACTCTTTTCTTTTCCAATACCCTCCAAATGAAATTTCTAAGTACCCTATCATATACTTTCCCTAAATCAATAAGACCGTGTGGATGTCTTTTTTCCTGCTCCTTAAACTTCTCAGTCAGTTGCCTAAGTAGAAAAATAGCCTCAATTGTTGACCTCCCTAGCATAAAACCAAACTAATATTGTCATGTCCCCCATAGTTTACATTTTACATTCATGTCCTTTTTTTCGTGCTTTTGATTTGACCCCAAATTCGGAACTATTAGTTCCAGCCCACTCATTGGAATTTCAGTGAATTGATTGAAACTGATAGTTCCAAACCAAGATTTGATCTATCCTTCCATCTATGAAGGATCGAAAGGGAGGAACACTTTGACTCCTTACCATGAGCAATCCGGAACTAATTATTCTTGATGGTTTGATTCCTTGCAAGAAGCAGTCCAAACCAGTTTGTCCTTATAATGAGCGAAGAATTAATAGTTCCAAATCGGGGTATTTTGGAAAAACTGTGAGAGCACAAAAAAGGCAACATGAGAGTAAAATGTAATATCTGTGGACATTTTTAGTAAGACTAATTATATGGGATATTACTGCAAGTTTCTCTATTTTATCTTCAAAAGTCAATTGACTTTTTAGGTAATAATAGAATCAAACAACAAGTTTTCCATAAAAAGATAAAAAAAACTAAACCCCCTGATAAAATAAGCAGTCTGGTATAGATTTACATTGCCTTGATCCAAAATGGAGTCACATGGAAGAGAGGAGAAGAGAAGGAGTCACATCAAGACCACAGATCTCCCATCATGCACCACCGTAGAGCTCTCTCTCTGTCTCTCCGTCGTAATGACACCTAATTAAATAATATACTATATACAAACACATAAACAATTTTGTATCAAGGATCATAGTGGGCTGAGTTTTTTAAAAAATCAGTTGATTCCATTCGATCTGTAATCTTGAGAAAGCATAAATGTGATTTAAAAATACGATATATGTATTAATTTTAATCCACTTTTTGTATTTATCGGCATCCGTATTTCTAATATCACGTAAATTCACAAGACATGAGTTCTAAACTTTTCGTAATTGTTTTTCCTTTTGAAACCTACATCCAGAGCATTCCTGAAATAATATTTACATATACATTCCCAACTTCTTGACAAGTGTAAGAAGTATGTTTGGCTTAGCCCTTTCATACACACTTCATATTATATCCAGATGACCTTAATCCTAACATGTGCCATACTCAAACACCAAGCCTATGGAATGTAGAAAGGAAAATATTTGCAAGTCATACCTATTCTCGTTTCCTGAAACTTTAACCCCAGTGAAGACCTTATGGGTGTCAATGTAGGTGGTGGTCCATTAGGGTCCAGACCCTAGAGCAAAGCTGTGCAATTTAGATATAAACATCGATGTTTGAAAACTCGAACCCAGTCATAGCCATAACTGAGCCAATACACGTGAGTTTTTCAAAATTGGAAAAAAAGAAGAAGCAATTATGCTAATAGCTGGAATCGAACCTTGAACCAAGTTAAATTGGAAAATTCATGCTACCATAAAGCACTCTATCTTTTGGTGTTAATTGTGGTATTATTTATTTTAAAACCACAAAAACTTGGCCAAAGTTTAATTTTCAAGTGAAACTTGGGGACTCTGTGAGTCGAGTTCACTTTCCAAGTTTGAGAAACTTGAAACGAGTTTTTGTTCAAGTTTCTAAACTCTGGACAACTTGATACGAGTTGAACATTGGGATCCGTTCACCACCCCTCCAGTCTCTCTTCAAAATAGCAATAGGAATAAATTTCTCCAGCATAAAGTGCCACAACACACGGCTGAAGTTTTATAGATATTCATATTAGATTGTTCAGCAACTTATTATGTACTTTTTAATTATTGAAGCAACTATTTTGTATTATCACTCATTTCATATGAATGCATCTTATGACCTTCAAAAGCTTTGCCTTCTACAAAGTGATGTTGGAGTATTCTGATCCCATTTGGTTAACATAGTTTAGCCTTTGACATACATGACACTAAAAAATTGGCGCAGGATGAACAGTGTTTTATTAACATAGATCAAAGAAAGCAGCAGAGGCCATCACTAGCATCAAACTTCGTCAAATATGAGATATTGCAAAAACAATGCACCAACAAAAATAAGTACAAGTACCATGCACCGCACTAGAATGATTAAGAACCTCAATAGTGTAAAAAGAACTAACCTGTGCATAAAGGACCGTTCAGCATCACTCTCCAATTCTGATATTCTATCCAACAATGCCTTTGCAGTCCCTTCACCATTTCCAGCATCCTTCTAAACATAACCACAACAAAGAGAAATGTATGTTCAACAAGATGCCATAAGACATGGACTGAATTAAAGCTCTTAAACCTTGAAATTTGATTGTTGAAGATAATGTAGAACTGACCTTCTTTTCCTTTCCAACACCAAGTTCAATATAAAAGTCAGAGTCATTGCTTTTGATCCATTGTCCACCAGATTGAAGAACAAATGGCATTCCCACATATTGATCATCCCCAATCTCTATCTCAACAGACTGCAGTTGATGGCCCCAATTTCAGAATATGAAAGATACAGACAAAACATATTAGTATTTTCCACCAATGGAATTTTTTTTTTTAAGCCTAACTATCAGAAGAGCAATGCCAAAGGCAAGAGGACTGAACAGCCTGTTAAATCATGTCTACTCATTATGAAACTAGTGCATGAGAATTTGTTTAAGCACTTTTTATCTCTTCTTTTTAGCAAACTTTGCAATAGCATTTGAAAGCAGCGGCTATGTGGAATTTTATTCCATAAAATAAAAGAAACCTTCTCTCTTTTTTTTATATTAATATAACTGAATTCCAATTACAAGAGCCACAAAATAATGCTTTAAATAAGAAAACAACCCTAAATACAACCAAGTATCTTTCTATTTACTGCCAAATAAATATGACTCAATTCAAGGGCTGAATACAAATTTTAACTGAAAATTTTAATACCTGAAAATTTTAATTATGACTTGCCTCGGGTCACCTCCTTAGGACTTGACACACCCCACACCTAATTTCCTGACCAATGGTGCACTCTAATCCTATTGGCCATGCTAAATTCTCTTAGTTGAGAAGCTCCTTAGGCAATGCCTTTTGCAGATTTGGAGTTTTGAGAGCATAGGCTAGATCTAGGGTTTTCTATAACCCTTTGAGACTATTTCGGCATGCCACCTTAATGGCACCTCCCTTTACAAAGTGCGTTGGGCATGCCCCTTTGTCTTGCCTATAGGTGGCTGTTCCACCCCAAGTTAACTAGGGTGGTATGTACCATGCTCTTAAGGGGGGAGGGGGGGGTGGGGGTGAGGAGCTAAGAAAACTCAAGTGGTTAGAATGTGGTGGGCTGCCCTCTATTTATAGCTTCCAAGGAAGTCTAAATATGCCCATCTGAATTAGGATTCCTCTTAACCATAGGACACCTAGGTAATCTATGAGGTGAGTCCACTTCTAGTCAACCTAGGACAACATCAGTCAAATCTCATCTTCTATTTTGACTACAATTTCCTTTTCTCTCACAAAGCGATTGTAGGAATTCAAAGTCTATTGAAAGAATATTTTCAAACACAAAATATTCTTTACTGCCACAAAATATGCTCACAAATCTTTCTCAAAGTTTTTCTCAAGATTCTCTCCAACAAAATCTTAAAAAGATATTCTGACAAAGTCTCCTAAAGAGGTTTATGAAACAAGCGGGAAACCTCATCATCCATATGGGGCGTTCCACCTAGTATGGGCTGTGTGGCCCATGTGGGCCTCACGTCCCAACCCATGTGGGTCCCTCACATGTGGGAGCTAAGCCCCTACATGTGGTAGCTCAGCCATTAGCCCCCCTACATGGGTCCTATTAAAAAACAATGGCCCCAAGAGTTTATAGAAATTTTAACACAACCCTTTTAGGGTTTCATACATCAATGATTTTAAAAGTTCCAAATATTCTAAAACTCACAGAAACATTTTTTTAATTGAAAATAAAAACTTCTAAAACTTGATTGGTACCAGTGGGTCAAGAAAAGTGATTGTCAGCGCATTCCACCCGACATAGCAACCGCGAACCTTGATTATCTTCTCAAATCATACCAATGAGACCCATGACCCACAATCTCATACAAGGAATCACGATTGGCTCGTCAAAACTGGTCATTAAATAGTGAAACTACGGTCGAATGTGAATAACATGTTTCTGCCTTAAAAGCTAGTCACACACATATATCACTTTAGTGCAAGAGGGATGCTCTCTATGTACATGTAGATGTATCCCTTTTAGGGTTTCTTCCCGGAGTGCGGCTGTCATGTGTACATACTATGCTGAAGTTTGTTGAGGATTTAGCTTTTGCTCTCAAAGGCCGACAACCGCATGTAAGAGACCACGAAGTTCTTTTAGCCTACAAACCATTCCTAGGCAGCTCTCATACCTCAAGAAGGGATGACTCTCTTGAAACCTCAATGGTAGTGCCAAATGCTCAGGGGTAAGGGTTTTGGACGTGACCAAGACAATAGACAACCTAGCATTACGTCAATCAACCAACATACACATTCACATTGAAGTATACAATCCATTATAATTTATATTTGCATGCTCTCATGGACTTTAAAGACCACAAACATGAGCATTAGGACCTTCAGATTCTAAGAATAGGCTTCCAAATCTCTTGAACTATCCTTTGAGGTTTTATTGAGATTAGAAAGTTTCACTCTCATTTGTCCTTCACTGAGAACAACCTCTTAAAGAAAGCAGAATTGGTCTGGGCTATCTCGATAGGGTCTTCTATAGTTACACCTCTATCTTTTGTTTGGAGAATGGTGTTGTGCCGCCTCCTGTAATCACATTCTTGTGTAAGAAAGAGGTGTTCTTTGACCTTTTTTAATCATTTGATGTGTGATCATTGTTGCCAGTAGATTTCCTCTTGTTTTCAGATCGTTTGCAAGTCCGTCTTTGCAGCGACTCTTCTTGCATGTTGTCAGCTTTGAGGTTCCTACTTTGTTCAAGGTGGTGCAACTCCACCATCTCTCTCCAGACTCTTCTTTCTTGAGTTGCAAGTTGCCAAATTACTCCCTGCTCCAGGATTTCAATCTTTCTTTAAGGAGTTAAAGCTTCTTGGAAAGCCTAAAGCCCGCCCACCCTCAACAGCAAAAACAAAGCCAACCATTAGGGGTGAGGTGAAGTAGATTCTTATCCTCCAATAAAATCATTTGTAAGTGTAAAGGTCTAAGTCCAGAATGGGTAACTTCTGTGTCTAGAAGGATGGGTGTTTTCCTAGGTTGGTTTTGGTAGGGTTCTGGTATGAACTCAAGTAATGACTCTTTCCACCCAGACAGATGAGGAAACAATCTACCTTTGAGAGGAAGGGTCTATTTGCATGGTCAGGTAAATGTGCTCCATTAAGGGGGAAATCAATGACGTTATGTCCCTGAATGAAGGCTGAGAACCCTTGCATATTGGAAGTGCGACCACCGCCTAATTTTCGTGTCATTGAAGTCGCCACCAATAAACTGGACACCTCAAGCTCATTCCAATAATCATCTCTCATCTGGGGCCTGTCAGGGCCATCTACGGCTGTAAACCTTCATCTAAAGTTGTCAGTTATCAGGGAAGAGAATCCAGGGAACAGATTGTGTTGTCCAAATGGCCCAAATACCCCCAGGGCTCCCTAAGCAGGGAGCTCCACACGGGTACAGGTCTTCTACCCCAAATCAGCTTCAAACAAAATTGGAGCGCCTATTTTGTTTCTGTGATAGCCAGCATTTTGGGAAGGAATTTACAAGCATATGGATGGTAGTGCTCTTCTGTGGTCGCCTAAACCCTGGATGCTCCAGGCAATGATCCTCATTTTTGAAGGTGGGAACTTTGCTGATGTCTCTCAGGCATCTAAAAGTATATGAAAGGGGATGGGAGGTATAGGGGAAGAAGTGGGCCAGTCCTTGATAATAGATTTGTCACAGTGCGATTTCACCTGTGATGTTCTTGAGCTCTCTCATTCCTTTGCCCTTATCTGACTATGGTTTCCCTTGGTTGCTTTTGCCTCAAAGGCGTATGTGTCATTGTCAATACAGCCTTAAAGGATAAAACAACTGCTTGTAGCATGCTTTCAATTTTTCCCTCATCCCTAAAGATTCTCTTCTCTCTGAGAGTCTGCTAAGAGATATAAATGTTTCTCAGAGAGTCTTCTTAGAGTCATCAATCATGGGGAGGGCATGACCAAGATTAAATGGCTGCTGATGAGCACTGCTTGGTAGGGCTTCAAGGATCACAGCCAGATAGGGGTAATGCCTCAGTGGTGTAGCTCAAATTATCGAAAGGAGGAGAGGGGAACATTGGCTTACAGAGACCCCTTTTCCCCAAAAAGTGATTGGGCAGAAAGGACGGCAGTAGGAGGCATGAGTTTCTGGTTACGGATGTGGGAAAGAGGTCATTGGAAGTTAGACTGCCAGGATGCAGGGCACTGCTGATTGAGGATTGCTGGAGGAAGAGAGAAAAGATGAGTTGGGAATCAAGGATAAGAGAGAAAGGCCATGGATGGGTGGACGGTCTAGATCTGGAGACACGGACGGTGAGTAAAGGGGGCCAAGGGATGAGAGAAAATGCGGTAGGCAATGTGTGGTTAGTCGGGTGAGATATGGCTGGTTGCCAGTCAAGCAAGCAATGGTGTGGGTTACCGGACGAAGATGGAGCACTATGAGATGTGGTAGCCATTAGATTTGGCAAGCTTTGGATGGAAAGCTGATGATTGTCATGTGGTTGGAGCTGGAGGGAACTGTAGGAATTTGAACACCTGAAAGAGCTCCATGTGTTGCTCTTTGATATATGGCTTGCAGGGACCCTTTGAGCCGCCACCTCTGAAGCCTTCACACAGATTCTTTTAGGTTGCTTTCAAGTGTCTCTGTACCAGAAAATCTGAATTAAGTTCTTTCCAATGGCCATTAGCCATCCTTCCAAGTCTTTGATGGGTAAATCTGCAGGCGAAGGTGAAGGGTCTGGAGTTACAGTGGATGTACACCATCCTGGATGGGCTATGGAGCATCAGGATTCAGGAGAGATGTGCACCAATAAAACATGCTCAAGAAAAGAGAAGACTACTTGATGTAATGCTTTCCGGGTATGAAACTACTCTCATGAGACAAACTGATCCTGGCTTATTAGAAGCCAGGGGTTTTGATAAAGTTGGGTAAATGTACCAGACCACTTGCAATTCTGTTGGAAACAAGGATGTTCCAAGAATGCAAGGGAATGCCTCTGGCCCATATCCAAATTTTCTTGAGTTTTGCAGCAACATCTGCAGGATACCAGGGGCTCCCTTCGGAACTTTGTTATGTCTGTCAATCCAGGAATGTGGCTGGACCTCTCGATGAGATTGCAAAGAGAATAGGACTTTGTTCCCTTTCTAAAAAATGGCTAGACGCATTTTAATTCTACACGTTTCTGGCCCAAGATGTTGTCCCTTGATATTGCGTCCAGATGGAGGGAAGGTATCGTCCAGAAAGGCCATGAGGCTTGGCAATGTCTCACCATGGATTGACATGTCATCAGAAAAAGAGTGAGGGCCAGTGACAAAGATGGGTTTGGGGTGGCATGGAAGGCATATCAGTTGCCTGATAAATGTTAAGATGGCCATGAAGGGAGGCTTGTGGAGGAGGTTTGCAAGTGGGGTTCATGGTGGGTATGAAAGTAGGGCATTGTTGAGGAAGAAGGTTGGTTTATGGGGTAAAGTAGATGACTGGCCTGAAGAAGTACAGAGAAGTAAACTGGAGTGAATAGTGGAGTAGCATTTGGGTGATGAGACAATGAATGAGGTAAATGGTGAGGCAGAATGAGAAGTCAACCATTGTGAGTAATGGAGTAGCAATTGGGTGATGAGACAATGAGTGAGGTAAGTGGTGAGGCATGATGTGGTAAATGGTGAGGCATGATGTGGTAAAAGGTGAGGAGGCACGAGGATTCGTGGGGATAAGGGGTGAGGTTACCAGTATTGAGATGAAGGGCAAAGTGTTGTCTAGGAGGGGTTCATATCTCGGACTTTCTCGCTCCCCCTCCCTCCTAAGATCTTTCATAGACATTATACATTTAATGATATCAAACGCTTGGAAAATGCACTACATGAAAATTTTCTGATTTTACAAATCCTTTCAACATGGGATGGACAACATCTAAACACATTGAACCTTCAATAAGAGAGGATTTCTAGTAAATGAAGCTAAATCTTGCAAGCATTGAAGCTCTAAATCAAAAGAATCTAGTCTAATGGGAACTGAAATACTCAGTTCCTTGATTCATATTTTAGCATTTCATCTTCTAAAATTTAACGAATGAAAACATGCTAAAATGTATAAAAGGAGGTTAGAGATCCTATGAAGTTAAACAGATAACCTGGAGAGAAAGATCCCCAGAAAAGCCCTCAACAAATTGTGTTTCACTAGCTTTTTGCTCCAAAGTGGAACCTGGTGGTATAATACCCGGTGGAGGTGCCTGCAGAATGCAAATATTTCTTAATGTCTGCAAATATCTCAAAAACTATTATGATTGTCACAATTTCTCTGAGGAAATCTTACCATCCATTCTCCAGCCCTCTTTGATAAACCCCAGTGTAGGGTTACAGGTCCTTTTAGATCTGTGGCCAGGTAAATTTTGATCTTACCATTGGGGTTGGTGACAAGAGCCTTAAAAAGTACGCAAACCAAATAAGAATGCTTAGAGAATATCTATGAATATAGAAGTTCCATAAAGCAAAAGAAGTAACATGAATCAAACATTACCAAAAGTTCCTTATCACCAAATTTAAAGACTTTCTTATTCAAAACACAACCGCCATCTTGTTCTTCCTTGACTTTTGAGCAAAGCTCTAGTGTTGTTGGGGCTCTTGGCATGACAGAAACCTCTGTCTTCAAAGATTCAGCAGCATGTTTATTGAGTAGCTGCATGATATCCCTCTTCTTACGCTGAATTCTTTCAACAGTAAAGTACTTTTTATTCTTGAGTTGCTTGGTAACTTTTGTTTGAATGTTGCCTTTGACTATCTTCTTTCGGATCTCATCAAGAGACATACCCTTGTCTAATTCATTTTGCAGTTCTTTCCTGGCTTCCTCAAACTCCTTCTGCTCATAAATACAAAACAATCCACATTCAGTGATGAAAATACAAAGTTTCAGTGCTTCACTAGTGAGGTAGTTCCAACTTTTAAATAATGACAATGGAAATAAGAGCTCATAAATTGTGAGTAGTGATATGGAGAAGAGATTATTACAATTTGTTGATCTTGGGAGTAGTTTGGCTTTCCAGCCTTCTCCCATCTTATATATGCCTGTATTTGTATGAGATCATCAGGTATCTTCTCCACAAGTACTTTCCCCAAAGGATCAAGCGGATCCTTCAAGGTATCGCTATTACTTGTAAGTTTTGCTCGAAGTTCATCAATGGCAGTGCCCCTGGCTACCTCTTCCAATAACTCAGTCCGAGCTGCTTCATACTCCTCCTGAGATAAGTCCATATAAATGATGAATGAAATCATCAAAAAATGCATTATTCATGCAGATTGAAAACCTCTTGAAAAGATCTTATTAAATATACATCATATGCTAACAGGAAGAAAATATATTGGCAGAAAACCAGTATAACAGAAAAATGTACAGAAATAAATATTTTTGAGGGACAGTCCAAACAGAACAAATAGCCATTGTTTAAATAGCATGTGGCCAGCCAGAGCTCCATAGCATGTGACCATTGTTTAAGTAGTTACATGACCATACATGATTATCCTGAATGATTGCATTTCATTTGATGGAACTAGGCTAAGGAAGTTGAAGGATAAGATTCTAGCACCTTCCTTTCAATCATGATGGTTGATCTAAGGATTGTATGGCTAAGATCTCTCACCCCACAGGTTTCCTATGATCAATGGTCTGGATCTATTCTCCATAAGGATGGCTAACCCTAAAAATCCTTACCCTCCGAGAAAGTCTATAAATACGCTCTTATGGGACCCTATTTCTCTACACCATTACATCTCTCTCTCTCCCTCAAAAGGCTCCAAGCCCCTCTCTCTCTGATCTCTCATCTCTCTTTAAGCCTCCCAAAGTTTGGAAATATTTTAGAGAAGAAAATAGGGGGCATGCCCCAGACCTAGCATGAAGAGAAGGGCACGCCCCACATTGAAAGGCATTGAGGCCTTCTAGCTTGTGTTCTTATTCCAATATTGCTCTCTGATTTGAAAGGGTTATTAAGCCTAAGGTTTTCCCATACTTTGAAGATCTGATCTCGTGTGCCATCAGAGGAGGAAAACCGGAGTGGGGTGTGCAAAGTTCACCTGAGGTAATCTTCTGATAATTCACTTTATGCTTTGCAGTCTGGCGTTTTCTTGTTCCAAAAAGTCTTATGTGATTATTGTTTATTGAATAAAACAAATTTTATTAGTGGCAGAACCTATATTGTATTTATTTTTTAGTTTATTTTATTGTATTTGGATCTTTGTATGTATTCTAACCGGTAGAAAAGAAGAAAACTAAAAACCACATATGTCATGCTAGTTCACCCTGTCAAACTTTCAATGGCATCAGAGCATAGGTTTCTTGCTGCCATTAGGTTGATTTTATTTCTTTTTTTTTTAGGTCTTTTATTAGTTTGGGACAAGAGCATATGGCTGCAAGCAGTTTTATTTCCGAGATCCTAGAGACTGAAAGGTTGGATGGGACAAACTACTCCTCATGGAGCAAAAGCTTGGCTATGTGCTTTATGAGGAGGGTTTGCATGAGATACTTGCTAAGCATTATCCTTCCCACCCTAGAAGCGATGTATCTCAGGCTACAAGAGATGCATACGCCGAGTGGAAACATAAGAATATGCACACTAGGCATATCTTGCTTGTTTCCATGAATGACTCATACAAGTCTGAGTATGAGCTAATTAAAACTTCTAAGGCATGCACAAATGGCTCGAGGAGTATGTTGATCCTTTTCTTATGAGAAAATCATTGACAATAGAAGTACAATGATTTGAAAATGATCGAGGGTACAAAAATATCAGAGCACGTGCACACTTTCAGGGCACTTGTTTGAGAGATGGAGATAATCAAGATGCGGCCTTTGGAACCCATGCAAGTGGTACACATGCTGAATATTCTCCCTACATCTTGGGAGATAATCATCTCTACCCTTGCTGCCCGAGAGACGGCTCCTATGTTAGAAGAGCTTATCACATTGCTCAAGACCGAGGAGGAAAAGTGGAACGCGCGCAATGCACTGGCACCCAAAGATGTGGTGCACATGGTAAACTCTCAACCCTACTTAAAGCCTAACAAGGGGAAGGGTAAAATGAAAAAGAGGGGAGAGGAAAAGAAAAGAGGGAGAAAATAAGTACAAAGGAAAGAGAGAGACTAGGGCTTACCACATCTGCAAGAAAGTAGGTCATATAGCCAAAGACTGCAAGTCTAATAAAAACCCTAAGGAAATAGGGAACTTGTGTGTGTGGTGTTCGAGACATTGCTAGCCGACCCCAAGGGCACATCTTAGTATCTTGACTCGAGAGCTACTGCCCATGTGTCAAACACTAAGGATGGCTTCTGCACCTTCAAAACCGTGGGCCTAGGTGAGCAACACATTTACATGGGGGGCAACCAAAAGACCGATGTTCTAGGTATTGGGGACTTTGCACTTGAAATGAAAAATGATAAACTCTTGGTCCTGAAACAAGCACTCTATGCTCCTGACATAAGGAAGTGTTTGGTTTCGGTCCAAAAAATGGCTAGGGCCGGGTTTATCACCACCTTCTCTGGAAATAACGTGATTACGAAAAACTATGATGAGATTGTCATTACCCATCTTTATTTGATTGAAATAAAAGTGGTGGTTGCTTATGTCTCATCTTCGAATGATATTGATGCTTTCCTATGGCATATGAGATTAGGGCACATAGGATTTAAGAAAAAGGAAAGATGGAATTCTGAAAAATTATAAAGGCGACCTAGCGAAGGTGTGTGAGTCATATATGTAAAAAAAATTAACAAGGAAAAATTCCACCGGGGCACAAAGAACTTCTAGCATATTAGGAGTCTTCCATAACAACATTTGCAATCCTATGAATGTGGCTACCAAAAGTCGTAAGCGATACTTTGTCACATTTATTAATGATCACTAGCGATATGGCTATATATACTTGATGCACAAGAAATCCAAAGTTAGAGAAATTCAAAGAATACAAAGCTGAGGTATAAACCAAACAAACCTAAAAATCAAAATCCTAATAACCGATAGAGGCGGTGAGTACTCCTCGCAACTCTTTAGGGACTTGTGTCTGGAGAATGGTATTATTCATCAATACACCATGCCTTACACACATGAGTAAGATGGAGTTGACGAGAGACAGAATAGAACCTTGATAGAAATGGTGAGGAGTATGATGGGGCATGCAAAGCTCTCCCAAGATTTCTGGGAAAAAACAGTACTAACGGCAGGTTACATCCTGAACCGTGCACCCACTAAGGCTGCCCCTCTTACTCCTTATGAGATTTTCATTGGTTGTACTTCGTCCCTTAATCACGTAAGAGTGTGGGGTTGTTCTGCCTTGTCCTAATCACATACCAAAATAGGACAAAACTAGTTCCCACGATAGTCAAGAGTATACTCATCAGCAACTCTAACCATGATAAGGGGTATCGATTCTACAACCTTGAGAATGGGGCAAAAACAAGTCACAAGCAAGCCGATCTCTATGAGATGACTAGTGACAAAGTTGAGTCTCGAGAACTCGAACCACCACTTAGGAGAAGTAACCAAATTAGTAGACAACCTAAATGCTTCACCTGTGTGGGGGAACATTATGAGAGGGTTGGGGATGAGCCAGATAATGAGCCTTCCACTTACCAAGAAGCCATAACCTGTTCAAAAAGAATCATTAGGTAAAATCCATGAAAGAGGAATTTAAGTCCATCACCCAAAACCAAGTCTAGGAACCAGTACCTCTCCTCAAAATTGTAAGACAATAGGATGCAAGTGGGTTTATAAGAAAAAACTAAACTTAGAGGCAAAACTAGAGAAATTCAAAGCTACGCTAGTAGCCAAGGGATTCACCCAAAAAGAAGGGGTAGACAATGAGGATACTTTCTTCCCAGTTGTAAAGTTTCCATCCATTAGGGTCCTAATGGTCAGAGCTTCCCAATTTGACTTTGAGCCTCATCAAACAAACGTAAAGACAGTCTTTCTCAATGGGGATTTAAAAGAAGAAATTTTCATGAAACAACCGATGGATTTGAAGAGAAAGGAAGGGGAACCTTGCGTGTAAACTTAGGAAATCCCTCTATATCCTAAAACAGCCATCGCGTTAGTAGTACATCAAGTTTCAAGAGAAACTATCTCTGACAGGGTTTACCTTGAATGAGGAAGACTACTGCATCTATAAAAAGATTAGTGGGAGTGATGTCGTTTTTATTTCCTTATATGTGGATGACATGCGAATAGTTAGTAGCTCAATTGCCCTTGTATCGGAAACAAAAGAATGCCTTGTACAACACTTTGACATGACGGATCTAGGGGACGCTTTACACATGTTGGGCATCAAGATAATATGGAATACAAAAGAGTAAACGATTCAACTTTCCTAAGAGACATACTGCAAAACAGTAGTGGAAAAGTTTGAAATAAACACGTGGCCGCATCGACCCCGATAAACAAGAAGACAAATTGAGCAATCAAATATGCCCTAGTGAGGATGATGAAAAGAAAGCCAAGAAAACAATACCATATGGAAGTGCAATAGGGTCTCTAATGTATGCCTTGTCAGAAACAAGCTAGACTTGTCCTTTGCCATGAGCATGATTAGCCGGTTCCAATGCAATCCTTGGATTAAACATTGGAGGGCGGTTAAGAGAGTTCTAAGATACTTGAAAGGGACTAAGAACTATGCACTTACATATGGGGGAGGATCAGAAATTGCTATCCAAGGATATTCTAATACGAGTTACTAGGGAAATCCAGGTGATGCAAAATCGACATCTAGATATGTATTCATGCTTGGAGGAGGGGTTGTTTCTTAGAAATCAAAGAAATACGATGTGGTAGTGTTATCCACCATGGAATCAGAGTATGTGGCATGTTGCATGGCAGCCAAGGAGGTTGCATGGATTAAGAAGTTTCTTAACCTGCTTGAGTTTGAGCCCGTACGATGTGAGTACGTAGGAATCTTCTGAAACAACACGACTGCAATATGTGTGTCCAACGAACGACAATTCTATAAGAAGTCCAAGCACATCAAGCCCCGCTTTCATCACCTGCACAATGAGGTGCAGTGCGAAGAGATCGAGATCACTTACATACCTACAAAGGTAATGGTTGCAGTCCCGCTTACAAAAGGGTTAGTTGCAACTATGTTTGTAAAACATGTCCATGAGATGGGGCTGAGAAAGAGTGAGGAAGAGAGATTGTAAGGACTTCAAAGGCCAAATGGGAGATGTTGGGTATTTGTAACCATTAAAAGCCATATGAG